CTTTCGAAAACTTTCAATAATGCTGATGTGCAGGCAATCGGTCGAAATTTGGAATATCCCTTTTTGGGAATTAGTGTTGTCCGGGCAGCTGTCCAGCAATCAGCCATGCTTCCAGATGACATACACAAATTGAACAACTCGGAAATAGGTAAAGCAAGGTGTTTAGCACACTCTTTCAGTAGGAAGGGGGACAACGAATCAGGGCCATGTGCCTTGTTAGATTTAAGGGACTTGAGTACATTCAGGACTTCCACGGCGGTGACAGATTGGTTCTCCCCAGTAGATGCAAATAAAGATGGTGTTCAGTTCCGTACCATAGCACCGTAGCATTTGCGAATTGACGGTTTAACTCCTCAACATCCGGAAAAGATCTGTTGCGTGATCCACAGAGCTGCTTCAAAGCAGACCACATATCGCGGCAGCTCTGGTTTCCCATAACAGTTTCGATATATATCCGATTTAGGCACTGTATTTCCATTTTGATCAATAATGATAAATGTTTGGCAGCACTGCGCCTTCCAGTCCTGTAGGCCTTTTCTTTATCGCGACGAAATCGTTTTAGAAGAGGCGAAGAGAATCTGTCAGTTCGATTATATAAGGTCTGAACTGGGTAACACAAATTATAGCAAAAATTAAGATAACATGTAAGATGCTCACAACCGGAAGAGTTGTTAGTATTGGAAAAGACAGTGAAATCGGTAGATGAAACCATATCTCTAAGTTTGGATAAGTTTTCAGGAGTGCGACTTCTCTTTCTGATGATGTTAGATCTGGAACGGTTCATATGGTGATAAAAATATTTACCGTAACTCTTGGAGTGCAAAAGCTAGAGCAATGGTCGGAGCTACCTATGGGAGCCCGCTTCTCAATGAAAATGACATTGGGGCTATTTACAAAACTCCCGTCAAGTTGGACACCAAGCCGGGTAGGAAAGTTTACAAGATTCATCATGCCTAAAGTTGTAAGGAAAGAGATATAAAAACGATTAAAATCGCCAGCAGCAATGCATAAAGACTTGTTTAAACTGGTTACAAGTTGTGAGGCGAAAGAGTCGACAAACAAACGAATATCCGAGGCAGGCGTGTCGGGAGCGATGCAAGTGTGATTGCTAATGCCATATGATGAAGATGAATGAGAAATCAGGGTTTACAATAAAACAAAGTTTATCTTGGCAGTATTAAATTGAAAACAATTACGAGCGTTTTTGCACCATTTCCTGTTGACGAGAGTGACCACGCCACCACCTCTGTGAAGGAGATTCACATTACGGTCGCCTCGGAATATGTCTAATCCATCAACATGCACGACGTTGTCCTCGATATCAGGGTGTGGCCAGCTTTTCTGGAATAGAATAGCCCCTAAATTCTTGCATTCCTTCTGGTGTATCATGCTCCTGACATCATCGAGTTTGCCTAGGAGCGAACGAATGTTACATGAGACAATATACGGAACGCTCAATGCATCAACAGAACGCCCCAAATTATAACCGGTATCATTACGGGATACATCAAGGTGCAGTACTTTCCAGGTATTTATTTTCCGCCATCAGCTCTTCGTCTCCCTTCAAATACGCTGACTGATTTTATGTCCGACTTTTCTCTGCTCTTTGGATCCGTCACAGTTTGTTAACAACTTGGATAAGGTTGATCAACTTCCTACCGTTCCCTCGAATTTCTTATCTGGTTTAATATGGATTGACTGTATACCGGTTACTGCGAGTCAGTTGTATCAAACACCTGGGGATATTCTGATCAATGATAGTCTTCATTGCATCGTTCATACTCAACAGATCATCACTATACAGCAAAGTCCCTTCGCACATATGTATAGTTTGTCATCTTCGAATTGGAGAATAGCTTGTCTCCAAAATTAGCGTACTAGTGTGCTTTGTCGCTGAGAAAGAGTTTCAGCAGCTTCATCAGTTGTGCCTCTTCACTCCCACTGGAGGAAGTGCGAGCTAATCTGCGTGAACGTCATTCTGATGCATGATGGGTCACACACATCTACTGATTTCGTCTGTCCCCCCCCCCGTGAGTTTGTTATCCTTCTTATCGCTATAGCATGAGAATGTATTGTGACTCCAAGGTGCTCTTTTTTAGCATGTATTCTGCTTTACAAATGATTGGTTTTCGCAGATGTTTGGATGGAAAACTGTTTCTTTCTTAATTTCTCTTCTTGACTGAAATGTTTGCTTGGCGCCATCAAATGTATGAGTACAATTGATGATAAGGTCGTTGTTGCGTTCAGCCTAAAGCAGCTTTCTAGGGCGGACTATTCGATAATCCAATAACTGGAGTGTGTGCACCCCATGGGCAGTGCTGGCCCTCGTTCTACTCTCGTACTCTCATTCGTTGTGGTGAACATTACAGATAACTTTTCCCATGGGTATTACCACACTCACACGTAGAACTTTGTCAGCCAAGGACAAAAATATCTTACGTTAGAAAATAATACTTCTAAATGGGGCACAATACCTCGAATTGTTTGCAATTTTTCCCACCGCGGGTAGCCAAATATTCAACTATATATATATTTATATATATATGGCAAATTTACTGGGGGATTGACAAATTGACTATCATCATCCATGTCAAGTAATCACTGTCCGCGTTGTAACACGTGTGACTGAGTTACAACTGTAAAAGTTGGCTGACTGCAGTGTTCGTTCCATCAATTGTCGGTAGTTGTAAATTCATGAACAATTAGTTCCCCCTTACAGTAAGTAGCTAGCGTTTACGATCGGGAATTCAAGTCCACTAACACTGGTTGCTCTGTAATTCATTTAGCTAGTTCGACAGCGCGTTCGGTGCTACGGAAATAACAGTCAACGAGGCCCATCATATATGTTTCCCATTCTTTGTCGAAGTTACTTCCTTGATCCAGCTGATGGATGAGGACAGCTAGAGGCTACTAATCGGTCGTATCGGAAGAATCTTCGTCGTAGATAAACTACTAGGGTTGAGGTCTTTGTCAACTCACCACCCTCACCCTACTCATGAAATTACCCATTGGTTCAGTCGAATCAAAGGGATCAATCGATTAATTTTGTGAAAGGTCATGCATTGTGGCACTGGTGTGATAGCGACAAGGTCAAGTGTTCTGCTTAAAGTACACACGGAAATTGATCTGACGTAGTCTTTAATCGTTCTTAGATGAAAACAACTTGTACCATGGGTTAATTATCAAGTAAAGGTTGGGCTAATTAGATCCGGCTAATAGACTAATTCCATTAGATAAAGATAAATTGAATAAACTTTTGAGTAAGCATCGCAAAGTGTCGATTCATGAACAGTTGCTCTTTGAAAGAGCTTAATCACAACCGTAAGCACAATGTAATAAGTTTAAACACTGAAGTTGCTTAATCACACAGCAGAGTAAACTAAGTGTACCCCTAAACCGCAAAACTCTGTTGCCCTCCATATCAGTGGATCAGGCCATAAACGGAACAATTAAATGATCTGTACATTGAGACTGCAAGCACGGAAATCAGAGACGCAGCTCAGATGACGCCCGCAGCGATCATAACCAGCAACACCACACACTACTTGAGGAACCATCCAAGGTAACCTTTTTCAATTGGAACGCAGAAAAGAACTAATTTCATGGCGGATTTGGATTCGATGATCAACAGACCGTTCTTCAGACTACCCCGGTAAAACATTAGTGAGTTCCGCAGCTATACCGCGTAGGCTTCGCTGATGCAACCCAAAGGTGGCAGTTTGGGAGCCATCAACAACATCCGCAAGAGCGACGGCAAGCCTCGTTGACACGAACGAGATTGATCGAGTTCACTAGCTGAAGGTAAATCGAATCAAAGGCAGTTGTTACGCGGAAAACACAGCAACGTGGATGTATACGTTTCCCACTAGATTTCGATATCAATCCGAAATTACAGGACGCGATTGCAACGATTAAAAATAAAACGAAACCGAATGAAATAACAATCAAATTTCTTGTGACATACGGCAATTGAGAAAAATTAAAATATTGGAGATCGACAAAGTCGATAATTCAAATAGGATATTGATCTGATTACGAGGACGTATGTGCACCGAGTAGATAGCCAACTGTTTCGTTCCACAGGGTCTCAAAGGTAGATGCGTCCAAAAATGATGGGTTGGGATAAGAGAAAAACATCTTTGAAAGCCTAATTCGATCACGATTGATATATGTACAGGATAGGTATGGAGTGGTCCATTGTCCGAATCTAATCAAGGTCGTTTGACGTATGTACAAATACTATATTTTAGGGGAGATCACAGATGTTTAAGATTGCCATGGAAGCACTCCTCTCTGTTCATCGTGCGCAACGAGTTGAGTGCCTGAATTTCGAAGGCCACACAAATTTCGATTTACCGGACACTTGGCTTGATGATAGAGTTGGTGAACACGGAGCTGACGTGAACAGCGATGCATTTGTATTGTTGAGGGATGATGCAGGAGGACAAGCAGTTGACGCCTTTGTATTTTCCATCCAGTTACATAGTTGACGCCCTGTCATTAAGGCGGGGATAATCACAGGACCATCAACAGGTTTTGTGTCGCCAGGATTGCTACCCGACAAATTGCATTCGGGAGCTGGTGTTTTGGTTACCTTAGAGACCGCGCGACGCAACAAAGCTAACGGTCGTATACTACGTCGACTCGAAGAGCCCTTTTGCAAACCGGTGATTTTATCACCTCCATCAGCCACGGTCTGGAAAACGCAAGTTGTTCTTGATTTAGCTTTTTCCGCACATGTCAACCGGGAGACATCAAGGGTACTGGAAGACGGAGATGACGAAGTGGTTCGAACAGGTGATGCGGGAACAGTGGTTTCACAGGAATCTGTTGAGTGTATGCAGTGCTTACGCGGATAATGCAAACCTGATCGAACAAGACGCTCAACGGAACCTACTGGTGTAGGGTCGATCAAACCATTTTGGCTTGAGGTACGCGAATTGAGAATCGTCACAGAAGTGATATGTTCTGACAGGCAGCTGCATATACACTTTACCGGGATGGCTGAACGATACGCGTTAATATTTCCGGCACTTGAAAGTTCACGAACTCTTCTCCCACGGTCTTCTATGCTGCGAAGCCTGACTACCGGTTCAACTGCATCTTCTAATTTTCTCGGGTGTTCGCTCATTTCCTTGGGCAGAGCATTGGTACACATATGATACGAAAGTGGTAACTGGCGTTCGCTTGCTTCGTTTGAGGAATTATTCGTTTGAGAAGATAAACACGAACATCCAGATGTTGACCAGTTGGAAGCAGACGATGCGTGCGAGGCTGCAGGTCTTAATGCAAGATCCACGTTATTAATTGTCCCGGAATTCTGGTTAGCAACAGAACTCCGACAACCGATTGGAGCGAAACTGGATAGTGACACAGCAAACGAGCCACCGGAATCCGTCAGTTTTGTTGGATCCGATCTGTGTGAACTGAAAGTTAACAACAAACTGTGTATCAACACTCCGTCTCAATGAATTTCAATAATCATTAATTAGGCTTATACCGAACATGGTGCGATGAATAGGAAAGCAATACATGATGAATGCTGTTGGAACCCATGATTAAACACAAGCGGTATGATACAGCCTATTCACATTGGTGAAAAAATATAAACGAAATGCTCGGCTTAGGAGATCAAATACAGATGTGAAAAATCTTGAATCCTTGAAAAGTGTTTCACTGTATCGCATATTACGTGAATTTTTACTTTTCCACGTATCGCAGTTAAAGAGCAATTGGGATGGATATGAACTAACAAGACTACCATTTTGCTCACCTGTTGGGATGATAATGATCGAGTCCAGACGAGGTATGCACGCGGTTCATCCATTGACACTCTTTCTTTTGTGAAGGACAAATATGGTTGCCGCGACGACAGCATGCGACGCGACTTGTGGACAAAGCAGTGGGAAGATCTGGAGCCGAATGCCAGTGGGAAATGTGCGCCGTATGGGAAGAGGAACAACCACGTCGAATGTCGTAATTGAGATCGGGTAAATCAATCGCACTATCACGCAAGGGATCCACCGATTCTGTCGAGTTGTCAGAAGCAGAGAGCGAACGCCGTGGTCTCAGATGGCCACACTCAGTTGAATTTGCCCTTAGCGCATTTGGGTGATAATCTGTAGAAGTAGCCTGAAGATGAAAATAACGTTCAAGATTAGTTAGCAATCAAATTTGAAGTTGATGATCTGAAAACCCGACTTAGATGCGACATTGAAGGCTTACCTCGATCGAGCATAATCCATTTCTGGAACAGGTGGTGCACGCTTTCATATTTTGCGCAGGGCAGTACATCGAACTTCGCACAGAAGAAATAAGTGAATTGAAATGCGGATCCGTACCGTCAAAGGATGAACAGGTACTGTGTTGCAAATCTTTCCATAGTTGGCGAGGAAAAAACAGACTCGATCTATCTGGGAGTCCTCTACTTGCATCTTGCCCCACTGGACAATTTGTAGAACGTATTCGAGTGGGTGAGCCTAAATGATTTTCTGAGTTATGTTGATGGACGGTGGTTTGGTCAGCGCATTGGGAATTTTTCGATGTATGCCTATCATAGAGGGTACGTAAAGTGCGACGGTTGGAGTGCCGTACGGGTTTATGGGTTTGTTGCAGTATACATTGCTGTGGTGGCTTACCCGAATGGCGGAATAACTGGATAAGAGGTAATAGCGAAGCACGGTGTTGATGAGTTCGCTTCGGCCGACGTTTATTCATGGTGTCCTCTCTGGATTGTTCATGTGAAGCGAGACTGCTTGCCCTTGACATGGATGGAGATGTCGTCCCGGAGGCCAAACTTGGCGGCGGTTTTTGAGGTGAATCGAAAGTAAGCTTAAAACGACGATCCGGCGTCACTGGTGTTGAGTAAGCATCCAATGGTCGCAGACGCGCACTATCGGGCGAATCGAGGCGAGACTGTCGCCTAGGTAAAGTCGAAACAGCCCATTGGGTTGCGGGGAAACGTAACGGATTCCATGTTTTACGACGCTGCCAAGTGGCTTTTGGACCCCGTTGTTTAGTTTGCGTTTCTTCTTTGGATTCACCTTGCAATCGAACCCTGATCTCCGACATTTGTGCACTGATTTCTTTAAGCTGTGGAAAGATTAAGATAACGATATCAAGTTAGCACAACATTTGGGGGTTAAGACAAAATAAAACGAAATAGCACGGATCTAACCTTTCTAGAATTGGATTTATATGCAATCCGATAGGCTTCGCGTTTTGTTTCGATCGCACGTTGTTTATGCACCGCATGCAGTTGGGAAATAACTGCATAGTCAATCTCCAAACGACGCAGCTGTAACTCGTACGCAGTTCGACGAATGTCTTCTTCGTCTTCAGTCCAGCTACCTTCTTCCACTAACGCATCTTGTTCGCTATCGAGGTCTTCGCCATGGTTTGACGAAAATATATTGAGCACAGTGTGCGAATCGTTTGGGGAAAAACTTGGGAGAACGGACAATGCACGATCCCCGCTCAGGGTTGACGCTGCAGAAGCAGGACAATCAATTTGTTCAGATGGACATTCTGGATTTCTTTTTCCGTGACGGAATGTAGTAGGCACTTTGAAAGTCGGAGCGGTTTCGTCGCACAATTTGGATGGAGTGGTAAAATCTCTGTCGTCATGACCAGAATCTCCAGACCAGGGAACTGAACCGGATAACTAGAACACGAGGGAATGACAGATTATTAGAGCGGTTTTAATTTCAGTGGTGACAAGACAACTTGAAGTCAGAAGTGCGCCTACCTGTGAGGATGTGCTCAGATCAGAAAAATCTCGCAACGGTCGAGTCAGAGTACTGGCACGTCGGATGAGCATTCGCGGCAGTGGGTATGAGGTGGTTTTCACCGGCTGAGTTCTTTTGTTCATTTCCTTAAGGAGATCTTCGTAACCTTCAGGAATGTGACCGGTAAGGGTCTACAGAAGAAACAGGAGTAATTAGTCAATTACGGATAAACTGGTGCGCTGAACCAAACACGTAAATGTAGTTTATTGGTTACTTACCCATTCCTCGTACAATAACTTAAGTAACTGATCATTTAGTCGACTCAGTCTGCGACGGAGTTCGATTCGACGTTGGACTAACTCTTCTACGGTATCGCCATCCATACAGTGGTCGGTAGAGTGAGTCAGAGAACCAGGATAGCGTTCGATCATCGGTGATGCGGATACGTGATCAACATCGTTCGAGTTCATTCGACAAGCAGATTCACATGGAGGACGGATGTCGGTCGAAACGAAATACTCGGTAGAGCAAGTAGATCGCAATAAGTCGGAGGGGCTGGGTGAACTGGAGCACACGCGAGGACACTCAGACATCTTGTTTTGTTCCACGGGACTGATCTGTCAAGGAAAAACAAAAGGGAGGGGGAACAGCATAGAATCAACTCCGCGCGGACAGGAGCGTGGGAATCGCGAGATTGTCGATCCACGATGGGTGGGGTGCTGTTGTCTGACCTTTGCCTGTCGACAACGCCCACTAACCAGACTGAATTTGACAATAGGGTTATCCGGCGTGAACGCCACAGGTGACTGTCTGGCTGGGCGCGTGTACTTTTGGCATGTGGCGTGCCATGCTGTATGTTCCGGTTAAAACCTACACGTGATGAGCTTTCACTACAAAACAAATAGTTCGCGGTAAAACTAAATGACACAAAATTGTCGATCTCAAAAAAGGTAAGAAACTTCGTTAATTGTCGAAACGCAATAAGAGCGGTTTTGGTGTTCAAATACGGTAATTTTTAGGATTTATTCAGAAAAACGAACGATAAATTACTTATACATGTGACCCAGTAACTCGAGATATGCAGGCCTAAGCCCATCTATTCATTACAGAGGAGTTCGTAATCGAATTTGTAGAGAACGTTTAGCGAGTGCTTAGCTGCACTTGGCCTATACAGTTATTAGTCTTTCATTATAATCAATTTCGCAATAATCTTGTAGACTGGATAATTATTTGTTGAGGTGTGCGCCATTGTTGTAAGGCATTAAGCCAAGTGCCGGGTAGGCATGAAATACAACTTGAATGTACAAAGATGGTACAAATTTTATGTGATGAAAAAATAGCAAACTATAGTATCGTTTCCAAAGGATAGGTGTACAATCACAACTGGAAGCGTTTTCTCTAAGTCCCCTCCAAGCGAATTTCTTTGAATCTGAATGTTTTTCAGCAAAATCAGGTGTCCAGAAACTTTGGAAAATATGAGCAAAACAAGAACCTCCCGTTATACTCGTGCGAATTAGCCATAGGTCTGAGTAATCCGGGTGGTGCTGGCGCAGGGGTTTAATCGCTTTCATTGGTGTGGCTCGAGGTTTGTGCCCCGCAACTGTCCCCCCATATTGACAGTAGGCAGCTGTGCTGTCGCCCGATTCTAGGCCATGTTTGAACTAGCGGTTTCGCTACTCCCAGAGTTTAGGTTACCGGTTAGCATCACTGAACAGCAGGTCTTTGTAACTGTGGGGTTTACCCAATCTGCTGTACCTCAAAAAAGGCGTGCAATAAAAAAGATAACTGAAACACAATTATCATAGTCGATGTGTTTTTGTTCAACATCGTAACACACATTCTTTGGCTTGTTTAAGGTTATGTTATGCTCCCTGGCTGGGGACCCCGAGATCATGGTCACCGATGGCTGGGTGTCGCGAACAGAGGCGCTCGTGCAACTCCGCAATACACTTGTAAATTCAGTCTATGTAAGTGCGCTTGAAACTTGTCAACATTTTATTCCTCATTCTGCAAATTTTATGCAAATGGGCAGCCAAAAGACATCATTCTGAACCGGCCCGCGAAAGTGCATGGTTATTGATTGTAAGAACTGAACTCAACTCGAATAACACCTAACTGTGTCCTGATTAAACAATAAGAGTCAATAAACAATGGAAGCACCTACTGACCGAAGTAAATCGTTTTAAGTATTGAATTAAGCAGCGGAACAGAAACGTATATTCTAAATAAATTCATGCGACGGTGTATTAATGATAGTTCTCCAACAAGAAACACGACCATACGGAGCACAGATTCTGGTACATGAGACAAAGACCATTTTGTATCAACTCACTTCGAGCATTTCCAAATCACAGGTCGGGTACGATGTTTGCAGTTTTACATCCAGATTGGTTAACATAGTCATGTACATGGATCATATACAAAGCGTTTACACCAGCGATGAAGATAATCCACAACAGAACGCGAAAACAAGTTGAAACGTAATCCCAGAAACGAAAGAAATTACATCCACCTAATAGCGAATGTCGGGCCGACGCCGGCTGACTTGTCCGTTCTAATGGTTATGCGCATACCGACCCAGGTGACAAAAAGTATGCACCGTGTGCGGGTGTGCCATATCGTTCGTTGATTGGTCGAACATAGCAAATGAAGTTAACCAATCAGCGATGTGGCTGAATAAGCCAATCAGAGAGATGGTTCTTCAAACCCAAGAATCGGTGTGATTTAGCGTTGGTATTTACAATGTTGTATAGTGACTAGTTGCTATCCTATCACTTGTGATCAAGAAACTGGTCATTCTCGATGTTGTCATCTATCAACCAAACATGATTTCTCTTTTCTTAATCAAACAGAAGCAATTTTTAAAATACATGGGGAGTCGCGCCTAAGAAAATGAGCCAAAAGAGAACTGAAAATATTGATTGGTATGTTTGCAATTTCCGATTATTGTCGAAAGATTTACCAACGTTACGGTTGATTCTCTCCGTCTCACTTGCTTTCCCCTTGATGGCATATGTCTTACACACCCTTTTTGCTAAGCAGCCGGCGGTTTAAACCCCCATAGTCACGAGGTTCTCTTGTTCAATTATGGAGATGGTAACTCACACTTCGGAACTTGCGGTGGCGAACTGC